TGCGAATCAATTTTGTGTGTGGCAATTTCATCGTGGACACCCTTTATCTTTTCCCTTTGGAACAAGGCGCACCACATCAGCAGCATCCGAAGTACACAAACAACGTGCAACGATTTTCTGCACGTCACTGTTACTGATTAGCGGATTTAAGCCAGTCATGTACAGCCAAAACTTTTCTGGTGCCGCAGCTTGCGCGATAGATGGCACAGAAAGACGAATCTCGCCCAAATCAATCGCCTTCGTTCCGTTGACGGCAGGTACAGATATCTCCGGTCTACGGCTGTTGGACCCTCCCTTGCCTATTGTATATGTATTTCAATGTTTATGTTATAGAAATGTTGTATATAATGAATCATCACTTATGCGAGTCGATTGTTATGTGTCACGACGAGACCCCTCATCGCGGCGACGCTTTACACGACGGCGCTGCGTCAGCTGTCAACATAGTGACATCGATCCCGAGGAACGTCACGGACTGTCGGAACGTCAACAAAAAGGAGAACGAGAAGAACAGTGCATTTAGTGCACAATTTATTGTTCAAATCAATTTTAGTACAGTTAAAACTAATACAATGGACAGTGGAAATCAAGCCGCACCACTTCCAGAGACAGTACACCAAATTTCTTAAAGCTCATACACAACAAAAACGTGTTGCTCACCTAGAGTTGGTGATCCTAACCCAACATTTCTTTATGAAATTTGTTCGGGTATCGGAAGTATGGCAGATGAACAATCCCCTCGGAACTGCCAGGCATGCGAACGAACGGACTCCGCAGAAAGTGAGATGGTCCAGTGCGAGGTGTGCAAACACTGGGAGCACTTTGGCTGCCCAGGTGTAGATGAGGAAATCCGGCAGCCGGACGCTAATTATATATGCAGACGATGTTCGAAGCAGAGCAAATCCAACGATGATCATCTGAAAGTTCGCGTTGTCCAAACACGTTCTTCTAAAGGCTCTAAGACGAGTTCAAAAGCGAGCTTTAGAAGGGGGAAGAAGAATCCCAACCCGCCGGGAAGTGTGACTTCCAGCGTTCGGGCTGCTTCGCTATCAGAACAGTTTAAGCTCGTCGAAGTAGAACAGAAGATGGAAGAGCAAGCACTACTGGAAGGGGAAGAAATCAGGATGTCAGATGGAGGAGGCGAAACGACTTCGTGGGCTCAAACTGCAGGAGGAATTGGAGCTGAAGCGCAATCAGCAGCAAATTAGGAAGGAATCTTTCAAGAAGCGACAAGCTATTCTTCGTCAAATGGCAGAAACTAGCAGTAGAGATGGCTCGGTAATGAATTCCGACCAAAAGGTAAAAGATTAGCTAGACGAACAGGACGCTGAAAGATCAAATGTAAATCGGTTTGGGAAAACGAAACACCCCAATTTAAAATCGACTCCCGCCGACTCAGCGGATCTTCCCATTCCTCAGCTGCCATCAATACCGCTGAATCCATTTCTACCTCAACTGCCACAGCCTCCAGCACCAATCCCCGCTCCACAGCATCTTCCCGTTCCTATATCGGAGCCTCCAATTCCAGCACCTGCTTACCCAACTCAGATACCAATACCACAGAGTTTTCCCCATTCCAACGCCACAGCCTGCGCCGACAGTTCCCGTTTCCTCCGTTCGAACACTTTCGCAAACACAAATCGCAGCGAGACAGGTTTTAGGAAAAGATCTGCCCGTTTTCAGCGGAAATCCGGAAGACTGGCCCATTTTCATCGGTAACTTTGAGCAGTCTACGGCCACCTGTGGTTACACAGATGCAGAAAATCTGGTTCGCCTTCAACGGTGCTTGAAGGGAAACGCCCTGGAACCAGCACGTCGTCCAGACCCTGCGTACTCTTTTCGGAAGACCGGATCTCCTCATTAGGTCGTTGTTGGGCAAAATCATTCAAATCCTTCAACCGAGACACGACCGGCTAATACAAACATGCACTTTGGTCTTGCAGTGCAAAACCTGGTCGACAATCTCAAAGCAGCACAGCAGTTCAACCACCTTGCGAATTCGGTACTTATGCAAAAACTGGTAGAGAAACTGCCAGATTCGCTGCGACTCGATTGAGCAATCTACAAGAACCAGCATCAGTCCGCAACACTCGACACCTTTGGTGAGTTCATGTCAAAATTGGTGACAGCAGCAAGCGAAGTTTCCTTTACCCTCCCAGGATTAAGCACAACTCAAAGGTCTATCATGTTCACGGAAACCCGGAGCAACAAACAAAAGGGTGGAAACATAGGTGTTGTTCAAGCTCACTCCACAGATGAAACTCCAACTCCCACGTATACCAGTACCCCCACTAGCACTAAACCAGGAAGGCAATACGTATCGTGTGGACAAGCGGGGCATCGAGCAGCTGAATGTCAACAGTTCAGTGTGGCTGATCGTTGGAAGCTAGTACAACAAAAAGGACTCTGCAGAACCTGCCTCAACTGTCACGGCAAGTGGCCGTGTCGATCCTGGAGCGGTTGCGGTGTCAGTGGGTGTCGTCAGAAGCACCATACTCTACTGCACTCCACCACTCCTTCCGAGCGAATGAATGTTTCTTCTAGCCACGTAACATCCGATGATTTGCGGTGGCCCCTTTTCCGCATTCTTCCTGTCATTCTACATGGCAACGATACCTCCCAAACAATCTACGCCTTCATCGACGAAGGGTCGTCTTACACTCTCTTGGACGAATCTGTTGCGAGACGGCTCGGTGTCAGCGGGAAATCAGAAACACTCACTCTGAAGTGGACCGGAAACGTGACACGGGTCCAGCGAAAGTCTCAATGTGTACAACTCGCCATCTCCGGCAAAAGTACCAGTGCCCGACACAAACTTCACAATGCTCGTACGGTTAGTCATCTCGTTGTGCCTACGCAAAGCTTGAAGTATCTGGACCTTTCAAAACGTTTTCCTCATTTGAGTGGTCTCCCACTTGACGACTACAACGGCTTCAACGAGAACCAGAGCTGCAAGAGCGTGTACGTGAGCAGATCTTGGAATATGAAAGGAAAGGTTAGGCACACCGGGCGAGTTTGGCCGAACTGACTTCTGTTGAGGCAAGCCGAGTGTGGTATCTTTCTCTAGGTGTTGTCACCAACCCTTGAGAAAGCCTGGGAAAGTTCGGTTGATCTGGGATGCGGCAGCCAAGGTGGGTGAAGTCTCTTTCAACTCCCGATTCCTGATCTTATACCAGTTCCGTCAATATCCAGTGGCGGTCATTGGCGATGTCATGGAAATGTTCCACCTACTCAAAATGCGTTCACCTGACTGCCAGCCGCAACGCTTCGTATTCCGTCCTCGCCCAACAGACCTACCACAAGTCTACGTCATGGATGTCGCCACATTTGGATCGTATTGCTCACCGGCATCGGCGCAGTACGTTAAGAACCTCAAGGCCGAACAGTTCGTCCACGAGTATCCGAGAGCTGCAGCAGCCATCAAGAACAAACATTATGTCGACGACTACTTGGACAGCTTTAAGACGATCGAAGAGGCGATTGCAGTGGTGAACGAGGTCAAACTGGTACACTCCAAAGGAGGTTTCACTCTCCGACGCTTCCTATCTAACGAACCTGAAGTCCTTCGAGGCTGAAGTGGAATCCAAAAATCTACACCTGGAACGTGGTGGGAAGTCCGAGTCGGTATTGGGGATGAAGTGGATTCCAATCGAGGACGTATTCATCTCTGCCTTCGGTATGCGAGAAGATCTGCAGTGCATTCTGAACAACGACCATGTTCCTACCAAGCGTGTGGTAGCCAGGGTAGTCATGAGTTTTTTCGATCCGCTCGGCCTCATCTTCTTTTTTCTGGTTCATGGTAAAATTCTGATCCAGGAGCTCTGGGCGATAGGAATAGGGTGGGAAAATTCCCCACAACACCAACGAACGCTGGCGACAATGGGTTGACTTACTTCAGCAGCTAGATCTATTACGCATACCGCGATGCTATTTCCATTCATCGCAGGACTTCGCTCGTCTGCAAATCCACCTCTTCGTCGATGCAAGCGAAACTGCCTATGCGTGTGCAGTATACTTCCGTTTGGAAACCGATCGTGGTGCAGAGGTGGCGTTTGTTGCAGCAAAAACGAAGGAAGCACTGCTGAAGACACTCTCAATTCTTCGACTCGAGCTGAAAGCAGCGGTTCTGGGCATCCTTTTGATGGAAACTATCCAGAGGTATCACACGTACACGGTCAGTCGGCGCTAGTGCTGGAGTGATGCAAGCACGGTTTTCGCGTGGGTCAGCCGAGGATCAAGTTTGTTAGGATGTGATTGGAACTCTTCTGGGATTTCATGGATTCCTGTATGGGGCATTTTTGAATTCACACTTTGGAACTGTGGCGTAGAAAGAGGTTGTCATCTGGATATTCCAAAATTATCTTTGTGGATTAGAAAATTTCACGATTCCAAGCTTAGACTTCTATCCCGTTTTCGATGGAAAGTTGTCCAACCAATTCTACAATTCCATAAGCGATGCACATCATTCAACACCTAGCGTCGCAAAATAACTTGAAATGACCTCCGATTGGCACTTTTGCCTCTTTACATTACCGTATAGTTAGCAACAGTAGACATACACGTCATGTGTATTTTATTTTGAAATCCTCAAAGTAAAACTATCGTTATTTACTGCCCCCTTTGCCAGCAGAAACAGCACCAACAAGGTACTTGTTGTTTATCATCGCCGCTAGAGAGTGTATAACTGAAAATAGAGTAAACACCCACCGTCCGGCCGTAAGCGCGCGTAAAATCCTATTTGAAGCACATTGACGCGCGCAGTTTTACTTTACTCGGAATGACCCTCACTTGGCCGTTAGCGCTTATTTACTTAAGTCATCGTCGAATGATGATCACCGGACGGTGTGTGTAAATATTTGCCACCCGAGGGCAGTTAGTTTGTGATTGACATTAATTACGCATACCGTCCCGAGAGGTTGCTGAGAGATCGCCCTGCCTGCCGGGTTAATGAAAAACAAGAGGATTCCGAATGAATCGAGATGTCTTTGTTTGCATTTCAGGACACCACCACCAGAGGGTACTGGTACAACACCTACTGCGTCGAGATCAAACCGAAGCAAGGATGGTCCTTCCACGACGAATGCTACGAAGATGGTTTCACCCGCCGGGAACTGTTTTCCAACTGTGATAGTGCGGAACTTGCCGGAACCGAGATCGGGAAATGTCGGTTCTGTTTGTATCAGTATTTGAAGGTAAGGACGTTTGACTTGAATAGCTTGTGAAGCTTATTGATTGAGCATGTTGTGATTAACGATTTGTTTATACTCCATTTCAGCTCCAAAAGAAGTCGATAGGGAAAGTTAGTAAATATTGTCCGTTGGATCTGTTCTCTGGGTAAGTTTTAGAAAAACCCACATCGTTGAACTAACTCTTCTCCGTGATCGAATAAATTTCCATTCGTCTTGGGGTTTGAATGCGAAAAATAACCCGACAAACCAACGGAAAACAGACAGCTCTCCTGCTTTCATAATCCGAATTAAATTTAGCACGCACCTTTGCCCTCCACAAGAGAAGAGCGTAAATATAAACGCAGATAACCAAAACAAGCATTAAGACAAACGTGCATAAAACGCATTTCGGAGAAGCAAAAAAAAAGGAAAACATCCAACACGCTGGGATTTATTTTGGACCGTTTTATTCCTGGCCAAGAATAAATTAAATTTATCTACCGTACCGCGACAGCGCAAAAACAAGACGCATCCAGGAAGTCGCTTGTCACTTCCAATTTTATGCTCCATCAAGCCCCACTCTCCCCGTCCATATTCGTTCTCCGGCACTGCTCAAATGCCCCGAAAAAGCACTTGCACCATCGCATCGTCTTGTTTCGTATTAAGGTGCAATTTTCTTTGGTGCGATGTCTACAAATTCAAAACCAGTTGTTTTCGACGCATCATTTCAGATTGCAAAAACACTCTAGTCTTTACATTGCTTTTGTTATTTTACACGAAATGACGTAATCTGAAAACTGGGTTTGAATTTTTGGAAATTGCATGAAATTAAATTGCACCTTAATAATGTTCCTTCTGGTTCTACCACCTCACCTGGCTCCTCCACAACCACAGCACCAGCTATATTAACAACATGTGAGGACAAAAACGGTGGGGATAGTTGTATGACGAAGCTGGCGGATATTTTTACTCAAAAATTGGTAAAACTCACACATGGGGCAACATTTGACTCAGGCTCACTAAATTTGTACCATCATCATCGTCAGTGAACAGCTCTTTGATGCTGATGGGTGTGCTGGGATTTTCAGAGGAAAATATGTAACATTTTGAGCAAAACACAAAAATGCTGATTCATTACCCGTGAATGTTGTTTTGATCCGTGAGCAAGTCTAAGTTTAAATCCTGCGTACGCTGCGTGGGATGGAAAGTAAGAACTCCGCAGTCGAAACTGATCTCAACTGGTTGTTATGGTAAACAAAATCAATCGATCGTTTGTATTTATTGGAGGATTAAAAAAAAACATTCTTAATCCTTCGTCTGTTCTGTGCCAAAAAAAAAAGAGTGCAACATTGCCCAAAATTCAATATCTCAAAAAGTCGTTCCAGCCATGAACATTGAAGTTTAGAAAGGGAAAAAGTCTACTCCAGTAACCACCAAGCTTGTTAATGATTGGCGTAGCTAATGGGGGTACCCAGGGTACTCGCCCTCCTCCAGAATGATCCCGGTCTCCTTCAGATTTTGTTGTTGATTCTAATCCAAAAATTTAAATTAATTAATCTTCAAAAAGTTCTGGAGGGGGGTCAGATTATTCCGGAAGGGACCCTGATCTCTGGGCAGCCCCATTAGCTACGCCAATACCGTTAACAGCCCGATTAGGGGCCGGTTTTGCAATTATAAGGCTTTTATCCCTCTTTAAATTTTTATATTAGTCTTATTTGAGCATTAAATATATTGCACTTTTTGCATTAGCGGGCTTAGAAATATGTGTTATGGGCCTTTCGCTTGTTTTTTCAAATGTTTGAAATGGGAATGTTTTTGACGTAGGATTACGTCTTTCGGCAACATATTGGGGGTGCAATTTCAGAAAACCAAATTCGACCGCATTACGAAAAGAGGTAAGGTGTTGATCTCATACATATAACTCTGTCAATAGCAGATGGATTTCAAATCTAAACAAGCCTAAACGATTGGATTCCCTAACAGAGTCGCCGAATATTAATACCAAGCACTGAGCATGCCAGACGATATCGATCTTTATGCCTTTTGGTGCAAATTTTAATCCCCTCCTACTAAGAGCATTATGCCGAATTTTCTTAATAGGAGGGGCTTAAAATTTGCATCAAAAACTATTAACGTAGGTACCGTCCGTAGGCTCATATTCTGTGATTGATGTGTTTTCCCTAATAGGGGAAATGGCTCTAATGTTGGCCTATGGATCTAAGATTGGGCCCATCGCTAAAAATATGCCATTTTCTTGCAGAATATTACTGAAAGCTTATTCACTGAAAGGAATTTATTGAAACGATAAACAAGATTCAACATTTATTTAACAAGATTCCCAAGATTCTGGGGCTTTGACATTTGTGTAGAGTCTGAAACTAGAACTTTTCTTCAAAATTTGTGATCACAGATTTGTAAAAAAATAACATATTTATGGATCTTAGAGTCATAATTGTCAAGGTTCTGAGACTTGGAAGGGTTATAACAAATTACAGAAAAATCTATAGAATCTTGCGGACATCTGGAATTTTAAGTAAAATTCAAAATTTTAAAGCGTTAGCAAACTCTTTAAGGGAAAGTGGAATTTTTGAAATTCAAAAGTAGTTTTTTTTTTTGTTTAAAATCGAAATTCTGTCAATGAAAATGTGTCCACCATGGTAGGCAAGTAGAATGCAATGACCATATTTTCATGAACGGAATTTTAGTTTTGGACTTAAAAACTGCTCTTGAATTTTTCAAAACTAGTGGCTGCCCCTTGTAACAATATTGAACCGTTGTCACAAATAAATCCAAGATGTCAAACCAAAGTAAATTTGGTTTTAACTAGTTTCCTACCCGACAAGCAGGCTTACTCATATCGGACTTTTCCGCTGCCACTGCCGTTTCACTTCCACGAGCATTGCATTCGGGCATTTACTCTCAATATTAGTCGTAAAAAGTGACTTTAGTGATTAAATTTTAGAAAATAGTGACTTTTTAGTGACCTGCAGATATCTGGATTTTTTTGTAAAATTTAAAAGTATTCAAAATGTAAATTTCTAACAAATAGGAGGATTCTCACATAATTTTCAAATGAAAAGTTCTGAGCAGAATTCCAGCATTATTCTGACATAAAGTCCATGGAAATTATTAGAAAAATTTGGAGGGATTTTTGTGGAGAAGAATGCAAGTTCTAAATTAAATTCTTAGGTAATTTTAGAAGGAAAAAAAAGGAGTTTTGAAAAAAAAAACTTTAAGGAAAATTCCTACGTGATTCTGAAAAGATTTGTATGGGGATCGTGAGGAAAATGACAAATGAATTTGAAGAAGAATTCCAAGAGAATTTTGATGAGAATTCAACAAGAAACTGATTTCTAATAGTTTTCTGGAGATAATTTCAACCCTAGTGCAAAGATTCATTACAGAGCTCCAACAAAATTGAATGCAAGAAAATTGCTGATAATTAGATTGAAATTCTTTAAAATACTGCAAGGGGTTCATGAATAAAATTTCGAAATATTTCTGCTGCTTTGAATAGAGTTAAAAAAAATATTTTGACAAGAATTTCAAAGGAATCAAAGTCCCCGAACCTAAGGGATTTCTAAGAAGGATTCCAATCAAATGTTTAGAAGTCCCAAAAAGAATTCAACGGTAATTATTACGCGGAGTGTTTTCTGGATAATTTCAGAAGAATCCCATGATAACACTAGTTTACAGCATTTTTGAACTCGGTAAGGTGATGATCATTTCCAATGCAAAATCCTACGCTGAATTCAATGCCGTGGTCAGAAAAAATTAAAGTAGAGCCATTTTTTAGATACATATCAATTTGATACACAAAAATTTTGATTTTTTGAATTTTGGACAAAAAAACGATTACTAAAATGTCAATATCTTTGGAACTAGTGCACCAATTTCAAATCTTTTTTTATGAAAATGAAGCTAAATAAATTTGCTATCGTTCACTAGAATATTATGTCTTGATTAAAAATTAATTTTGAAGTCATTTAAAAATTTACAGCATTTTTTTTTATTTTTCCTGCGAATTTTCCATAAAAATCTTGTTTTAATCAACATTTTCAATGGGATAAAAAGATTCAAAAAATAATTCCATAATTTATTCTTAAAGTCCATTAAAAACTGGAGAAAATGAGCCTTTAATGGATGAAATCGGTTAGAAATTGTCGAAGTTATGAAATTTTTTGTAAAATCATGGAAATTGAATGTTCCAAGATTGGCCGTTGTCCCGCTCCTAGGTTCATGCACCACTTCCAGTAAGCCTTTCTGCGGACGTGTACGCATATGGTGCATTTCACTGACACTACCAGCTGTCACGCAAAATTAAATGGGATATTTTCAACAATATAATTTACGCTAGTGTTTGTGAGACCGCTCGGCGAGAACCTAACGCAACCAACTCAATTTGACAGCTTTCTTTCTTTAACATTGCTTAACGATGTATACGACAAAACGTGAATTCAAGTGTAAAAATGATCCTCAAAAGTTTTGTTACGCGTGTGGCAACTATATATTTACAAAATCGGTCAGTTTCACTGCTTCGTTGCAAACTGCATACAGGCTTTATTTTAAAATTGATCCTGGAGACTTTGACGAACCGTGGATTTCAAAAGTATTATGTAGTTCGTGCAAAACGTGCTTGGCTAGGTGGATGTCAGGCGCAAGGTAAATTGATTTTTTGAATAACTTTCATATAAACAATTTATGTACAGCATGGTAGTGCTTTGTTCTTTCCTGATCGACATTATCTTACTTCATCTATTTTTGATAAGTGTTAATGTCTTACTTACTAACTCACTTATTTGTTATCTGTCAGTCGCTATTTGTCCTTTGACATGCCCACCATATGGCGTCGACCGTTTTGTCATGCAACGGATTGTTATTTCTGCTTGACAAAAGTTAAGCAACAAGGACGTCACAAAACAGTTGAGTATCCACAAGTGGCTTCTATGACAAAACCTGTTCCACATTCAAGTTCGGTTCCGTATCCTGTTTATCCAAAGCGGAAACGAGCGCCCTCTGTTGAATCGACCGTTACAAAAAGTGAGGAGGAATTCAAGGAGGAATGCGAGGAAGACTTCGAGGTGGAATTGGAAAGAAACCCAAAACTGTTTACACAATCCGAATTTAATGATTTGGTGCGAGATCTCGACTTATCGAAGGAGAAATCCGAATTGCTGGCATCACGCTTGAAAGAACACAACATGCTGAGCAAGGAGGTCAAAATTTCTTGTCACAGGAATCGTCACAAAAAATTTGACAAATATTATGGTTTATGAAAAAAAAAAAAATCTTGCCGAATTCTCTTAAAAGAAGAGGCTTAAAATTTGCATCAAAAAGCATAAACATAGGTACCGTCCAGTAGGCTCAGAATCGAGGACAAATTTCCACAGCATTGTTCTAAACTGGCTTTCAAGCTTCCAACCCATCGGCCCTTTTCAGGACCACAAATGACTGATAAAAGAGTTAACTAAAGAGTAAGAGCTTGTTTCCAAGACATACCGTCCAGGATTGGCTTACACTACATGGACATCGACGGCTCGACACCTCACAAACAGAACTCTCAAATTGCTTCCGAATTTCAAACTATCGAACTTTTTCTCTGATAACAAGTTAAGAAATCAATTTAATATATACTTTACTTTTGCTGTGACATCAAAACTACCTTTCGTAATCCTACGTCAAATCTACGGTCGTGTCTTGGATGCAACCTCTTACTTTTTGCTTTTATAATTATAGAACAATTGTATAGAGTATTTTATTAACAATTGCTAATGAAGTATATGATTGATTTACAGAACAATTTTATGGAGGGATTGAAAGCTGCTTTAAATTTATTTTTAAAATAGAACAGTTTTTGACTTTCTCGACAGACTATAAAAGGTTTTCAAAACAGCAAAAAGCTGAGTTACTAACCACGAATGTTTTACACTTTGAAATGCTGTGTTTAAACTAAACGGACTGTTCATTGCCGTTATGAAAATATCATAAATCAGAGTGGATGCCAAATCGCTGCTGAATTTTTAATTAATTTTCGCAGAACGGCATTATCTTTATTTTTGATACCGTAATCTCATTTAATTTTACAGAAAACCGATCCGAATGCTACACGCCGTCAAGGGCCTCATCGGTGCACCGCAGAACAACTTCAGGCTCTCCAAGAACGGTCGCATCGTGTACGACGAAAAGCAGGAGAAATCCGTCTTCAATCGTATCCTGAAAGAACTCTTTCCGCGTGACGGACGTACCAAAGAAGAGTATGTTCAATCTTTAAATCCATTCTTCATGGTAACATTAATAAAATAAAAAATCTCCTCTCCTCTTCCAGAAGAAAAACCATTTTTATGAACCTGATAAAGGAGATCCTGCTGAAGGATTTCTCCACCTATGAAGCACATCGTGATCGAAAGCTGTTGACTATACGGAAGGATAGGAAAAAGGTAGGCACCATCCATCGCCATGAACGAAAAGAATCCGAACCGTTTTATATTTTATTCAATTTAATTTAATTTTATTTTACTGTTATTAATGATTGTTTTCGTCTTTTATGGCTTTCAGAAGGATAAAAATCAGATCCACGAACGTACCTGCAGTCCAATTAATTATCAGTTTCTTCCGAAGAGCTGTGCTCTCAAGCAAGTCCTGGACACCCAGCTTCTGGCGAAGGTAGGGAAAAAGGCAATATAATGAGAATAATCCGGAATCGATATTGACGCTTCGTTTTCTCTTTCTTTCCAGTCAAATCTTACCAAGGTGCGTCCGGACTTGCACCGACAAGGTAGCAGCTCATCGCCCGGCCCGTTTGCCTTCATCGATGAGCTGTACGAGAAGTATTTGGACTGCCTTGAGGATTACTGTGGCAACCAGGTGAGCCGGACGGCGTCGGACAGGTCGAATTACTTCATCGAGTCCTACCTGGACGAGCAGGAAAAGTATCAGCTTGGTGCAACCGCGCTGGATTGTTCCATTATGATCACCTTTAGGCGGCTGGCCGAGCGGGAGGAGGAAAGGTATGAGGCGTCTTTTAAGGATTTAAATGCCGTAGGTTTTAAATGGATGTAAATTTGATCCTTCAGAATTCGTTCTGTTGGGATTGATTTCATTTGTTTCCGTTCGGACACGTAAATCGTCGCCGTGAAGTCGAATTTAGAATTGTAATCAACGTCTGCTGACGCGTAATTCTTCCCGTTGTAGATTGCCATCGGCCGCCCGGAGTCACATCGTCTCAATCAAAGCCATGAAGTTTCTGGTCAACGTTACCATCACAGATCTCGACCCAAAATCGCTCAACCATCACAAGAAATACCTCCAACAGTTGCAGAATTCCGTCGGAGCCTATCGGGAGTTTATGTCCAAGATTAGGCGCTAGAATATAAGAATGTAGGAAGCTGTCGATTGTTGTCATTGTCTTAGAGCATCAGCATATGCGTGATACATGAATGTTTTGTGGTGTAACCATTTTAGAACAATTACTATTTATTATTCACTTCTCTTCCATTTTAGGATAGTGACAATTTTCTACCGAGGTTTTAATAGTATTTGAGGCAATACAGACTCTCATGTAGTAGGACATTATGGATATAAGATTAGTCTAGCAGAATGCAATTACACGGCTCATACACAATGTAGAATACAATTCCAATTTATACACTTCTACAGACCTGTTTGGATAAATATATGCTCTTATTTATTTCCCCTTGTGAAGGCAAATGTGAACTGATTACGTATTACAATCCATTGTTCTTTTAAGCGTTAATAATAAGCATGGCACAGTGGTTTAAAAGTCTGTTTTTTTTTATATCTTTATTAAGGAGACTTTCAGCCGTTGGTTGGCTCGTCTCCGATAAAATTCTGTCGTTAGCGATAAATCTTAACTAATAGCACCAATAAAACATGGATTTAGAGTGCTGACTTCTTCAGCAAAGTTGATGGACATGACGTGCTCATGGTTGTTTCAGCTGGCGCAGATTTCGCGCGTTTTCATAGATCTGTGGCGCGGATTATGGGGAAAGCTTAGCACAGAAAGTAAAACCATTTTATTTTTCAACTATCAACACGCAAAAAACGGTTCCGTTATTCGTGAACAAAAAATTATGAATACCTGAACTGCTGGTTCACATGAATTCTCGCGTCATTTTTCAAATAAACCAATGTAACATATCCGCCATTTTGAGGAAATCGAAGTTGAAGTTCGACAGATTATTTTTTAACTGTTTAGAAACAATACATTTTGCAATAAGAATTTTTAATGTAGTCAGTGAATAATACCGTTGAAAGATCAGTAGAAACGGTAAAATCACAATTTTACTTTGAATTTCATGCTACAATATAGAAAAAAAAAACCACATACGACGTTTTGACTAGTCAAGTTGTACATCGGACATGTTACATTGGACGATTTTTCTCAATGACATAATCATGTAACACTCATTACATTTGACGTTTTGTTCTACATGATGCTAGATTCCCTTTCACAGATTTCAGAGTAGAGTACCTAACTTTAGATTGGCCGCCTTAGAAAATGAGCACCAATCATGTTAGGCAGTTCAAATGACCGAAGTAACAATCATGTACCCATCATTTCAATTTCAAACTGTACGTTGGACAATTTTTGACCTATGATTATCTTAAATAATTGAAAGTAAATTTTGATGGTTGTTTTTGTATCACATATTCGTATCGATTAACTCGATTTGTTTACATTTGTTACTAAGAACCTTTTAAAAAGTGACGCGAGAATTCATGACTTTGTTCTCGGAAACGTGATCACGTAAATCAAATCCCAAATCCATGAACTTAGTTCATGCCTGCTTAGAGCGAGCTGCAAATTAGTAACGCTCTAGTAAATGTCAAATAAATGCATCCGTGAACTTGGATCACGAGCAGAGCTGCACTGCCTATAATCTCATATCAGTCCCACATGGAAAAAGTAGGCATTGAGAAAATGGCAGTTAAAGTTACGAAGTTCAATTCCCATGTAAATATTTGAAAAATCATTGTAAATTAATTAATATTTTATTCAAGATGAAACCACTTACAATGAAGCTTGCATGTTTGGTTATATCAGCCATATGGCGATCCAAAAAGCAGAACCCTAACTTGACCTCTGGACGATCGAATTTCAGGATGGGACTTATATGCGATTACTTTGCTTGATGAGACAAACTGACTTGATGTTGTTTTCACATTTTTCATTATCAAAATCCACAGTTTTATCACGCAATATGAAAGTAGAAGCCAATTGATAGTGGATAACGATGTTATCTTAAAATTGACGAAAATCCATATGGGACTGATATGCGATTAAAGGCAGTAGCAACTGTCGTTTTTAGTGGTTGTTAATTGTTTATTATGTTTTCCACCGTCGGGGTTAACCTCAATCTGTTGACAGTTCAGTGGTACTGTATACGTGGACTTAGTCGATTTTTTCTTGGGTAGATTTCCTCGATAATTTTTCAGACTGCAGTGAGATGTAAACCGCACTTCTGCATTGTCCATGAGCAACATCCTTTCACCGCACTGTTCCTTGACAATGTTCAAGTTAAAATGCGGAAATGTTAGAATATTTTTTTTCGAAAAAAAAAACGACTAAGTGCTTGTAAAAAGTACCATTGAACTGTCAAAAAGGTTCAGCCGATTAACACTGAGTTCATTCGTGACGTCACACTGCAGAACCTAATTAGGTTAACTGGACTGAGGGATAGAATTTCGGGAACCAATAAGGTGATCCAAGAGACGTTTCTCAGTGGAACTGACAGCTATAAATCTAGATTGTTTGAGTCTATCTCGCGACATATCTGGTGCTCATGGTGCTGAATGTAAACATAAACAAACCAGAAATTCATAGGAGAATAAACTGCGAGTTCTACTCTGATCTGTCAAAAGTTCTTGATAAACAAAAAAGTCAGCTAATCGCAACTGGCTCGTGCACAGGGTGGCCAGATTATTTTTTTCATTATCGGTAACTTCTCAAACCTTTATCGGTTGTTATCGGTAGGCCGTCTTAAGAAGGCTTTCCCAATACTTGAAACCTTTGTGAGCGGGGGGAACTCTGCTCCAGAACAATACGCTGCCCTTCAGTTCTTCTGCTTTAAACTAGGGATTTGTACCTAAATTATCTTGCAACTAGCATTTCACCTGACTTTTATTTTTGATTCGATTTACGTGAAAAATAATAATTGATTGCATCGCAATATTTTGCACAATAATTTACCAACTAAGATCAATTAATCAATAAAGTTAGGATATTGTTTTTGAATAAAAAAAAAACTAGTTTAATTTGAGAAGCACACGGAATATAAAGATGGTTGCATTTCTGTTCGATTGGGAATGGGAATGTCTATTGGGAATGTTTGATTTTCTCAGATTTTGACAGTTCATTTGACTGAAAACATTATCTCCGCCCATCTCTCCCTCTGACTATTTCTACTTTAAACGTGTCGAAATCAATATTTCTAATTCTAATACAAATTCTGACTACACGGAAACACGCTTGCCGTCCACGATGCACGCTTTGATCCAAGTGCCCGACTCGTATAGACGAGTGCACGGATGGATTTGAGTTCACTCAGTCCAGAGATGCCAGATTTTTTTCTTTGCAATTCCGTAGACTTATTCAAATCTACGGATTTCTACGGATTTTTTTTTAGTCGAAGGTGATATTTTTTTTAGTTCTAAGGTGATATTTTACGTTAAATTATAAATCAATGAAATGACTTTTGAAAAAAACTACTAGGGACAGCCTTCTGGGGTTGTACGCAACGATGACGTCGGACTACGTGGTCTTATATAATAAATGTTATTTGTTAACTGCCGCAGGACTTGTGTTTTGTGTAGGAATAGGAATTTGAGCGGGGTTCTCTCTGTTTATACTCTTTAGTATGACTATGATTGCCCTGAAAAGAAGCTTTTGATATGAATTTTAGTTAGGACATGTTCAGAAATTTAACTCTTCTGGAAAATCTTGGTGGCCCTGAAAAGGTAGTACAGCCATGAATACCATGATACTGTTGATACTGTTGCACCTGTAGTTGTTGGCATACTTTCACTGATTGCCCGGGGATCCTTGTTCAGCCATAACAAGATCCACGGTGCTGAAATTCAACCAGCTTGTTGAAGTAGGTACACACAGCACGTGACTGGATCATCAGAGTTGCTCTTTGTAGTTCAGTCAATTCCTGGATAGGATCTGTTAAGTCATTGCCATTGTGTCCTACTGACAATCGATATAGGAGATTCAACAAATGGGGCCACTTCATCTCATTTGCATTAAGTGTGAGGAACATCGTAGGCTTTCCCAATTGTCGCATCATGCTGAACAAATAAAAGCGCATTGCAAGCCTTCGGAAACTCTAAGGCTAAGAACTTTCATTGTCATATACAACAAATGTTGTGGTTTGGCCACACACGGAGAACAAATTCGTTAAGTTAAGATAACAATTCTAATAGTTACTTTCACATGGAATTTTGTTGTTTGAAAGAAACCTATAGTTATTCCAACATTAATTTGACCGTCAACTCAATCATATCTACCTTATAGATTCAACTGTTCATCTTATACTCAATTCAACTATAACTTTGATCAATTATAACAACCGTCAAATGTAATTTATTTATATAATTTGGTTTCAATTGATCATCATAAATCCATTGTGATGCGTAGAGCAGGCGATAAGATAGCTGGCTCTCACGCAGATGAACACGGTTCAAATCTAAGCTGAATGTTCTTGTTCACTTTTTTATGATTTTGCAGTTGTGTTTTTGAGATCGATAGAGAAGTTCAGAAGAGCAGTTCGTTTAATAAACATCGTTAAATTTTGCTTTCCTAACAATAGTTTTTGTAAGTGTCAGCCACCTCAGTCAGGAGCACTTTCGAGACTCCCTGACTCCAATGGCCTCAGGGTCGGCACGCTTACCGATTGCAATTACGCGGGCAGGGAATGATCGCACGTGACACACAGAAAAAACTCCACAAGCACTTCACTACTCAAGAATAGACATTTATTTCACTTTCCTGAACTTTTATTCTCCCTCTTTACTACCTTATTCTCCCACTTTCTTACAATCTATCTGACCTGGTTTCTTCGTCGGGGCCCCTCGCAACACCTCCACTATGTGTCTTCGATTGTCGACCGCTTGTCCTCGGTCGACGTCCGCTTCCTCTCCACTTTCTAGTCGTGTATCTCGTTCGCGCGCTTGCTGTACGGGATGGCGATGACGAGCACCAGGTTACACTCCCTGGGCCTATGAGTTGGTGACGAACTCGGCCGGCAGGCAATGACGGTGTAACCTTCCGGTACGTCTACCGGAACTTCACTGCGTACAGGTGATCTGTACTAAATACAGCGGGGTCCTGCTGTCCTTGACTCTCTCCTCACACTTTTTCACTGTTTCCACTCTTACTTGCGTCAATTTAGCTGGCTTGCTTTCTTGATGAACCGTTTTCGCTGGTGGTCTTACGATCAGTGCTTATTAATTTCAGAGTTGAGTGAGTCATTGGGTCACTGCTCCAGGCTGTTGGCCATTCGTCGTTCATCGCCAGTTTGTCGTGCCCGTTATCCTCCATTCAAAATGGCCATCTCTATCGCCACCCCCCATGGCCTCCCAACAGGCAGTTGTTTGTCCATCTGGTGGCGGGTTTTTGCAATTCTCGGTGGGGTGGATTGTTGCGTTCTACAGTAAGCTGTCCTACCTCTGCCTACTAG